GCATGTAATATGTTCTGAGGAGCTTACTGGAAGATCTGCATACTTATTTGGTAAGTTGCTGTTTTGTTTTCATTGTTTTCAGTGTTATTACAGTTATACATATCTATAGTTGAAAAAATCAGATAGTGCTACAGGACTTAGAACACAAAGCAGCATTCCTCTGACCTCCGAGAAATCCTCCTCAAAGCAACTCATTTTTAGTGGTTTTTCTCAATATTTACTCACAAATTTCTTTTTACAAAAATGCCTTATTTATTTTTTTTTTGAGACGGAGTTTCGCTCTTGTTACCCAGGCTGGAGTGCAATGGCGCGATCTTGGCTCACCGCAACCTCCGCCTCCTGGGTTCAGGCAATTCTGCCTCAGCCTCCTGAGTAGCTGGGACTACAGGCACGCACCACCATGCCCAGCTAATTTTTTGTAGTTTTTGGGGTTTCACCATGTTGACCAGGATGGTCTCAATCTCTTGACCTTGTGATCCACCCGCCTCGGCCTCCCAAAGTGCTGGGATTACAGGCTTGAGCCACCGCGCCTGGCAAAAAATGCCTTATTTTTACTTTTTAATAAAAAATTTTTTTTTTTAGAGATGAGGTCTCATTATATTGGCCAGGCTGATCTTGAACTCCTGGGCTCAAGCAATCCTCCCACCTCAACCTCCCAAAGTGCTGGGATTACAGGCATGAGCCACCAGGCCTGGCCACTTATTATTTTTGGGTAATCTATCACTGTATGCTAAACTAGACTATGATTTGGTAGACTTTCACTTCCCTCTCCCCCTCCCAATTACACCAGAATTTGTACTTACATCAAAATTTTTGGTTTTATCAGTATATATTGTTTACATGGTTATCAGTATATTGTCTGACACAGAGCCCAAAATGGTCCATCCTAACACAAGATTCTGTAGTGTGAATCAAGTCATAGGTGATGAGTAAACAGACACAATGCCAAGTGGCATGGTCCTGACATAATTATCCTGAGCATGTTAAAAGTGTGGTAGCTCACACCTGGAATCCCAGCACTTTGGGAGCCGAGGCATGTGGATCACAGGAGGTCAGGGGTTCGAGACCAGCCTGGCCAATGTGCAAACCCCTCCTCCCCACCCCGTTTCTACTCTCTACTACAAATACAAAAATTAGCTGGGCATGGTGGCACACACCTGTAATCCCAGCTACTCAGGAGGCTGAGGCAGGATAATCACTTGAACCTGGGAGGTGGAGGATGCAGTGAGCTGTCATTCGCACCACTGCATTCCAGCCTGGACAACAGAGTGAGACCCTGTCTCAAAAAAAAAGAAAGAAAGAAAATGGAAAAGAAAAAGAAAGATTTAGCCTGTGATCCTAACATTTTGGGAGGCTGAGGTGGATGGCTCACCTGAGGTCAGGAGTTCAAGACCAGCCTGGTCAACATGGCGAAACCCCATCTCTACTAAAAATACAAAAATTAGGCTGGGCATGGTGGCTCATGCCTGTAATTCCAGCAGTTTGGGAGGCCGAGGTGGGTGGATCATCTAAGAACAGGAGTTTGAGACCAGCCTGGCCAACATGGCGAAACCTCGTCTCTACTAAAAATACAAAAATTAGCAGGGTGTGGTGGCATGTGCCTGTAATCTTAGCTACTTGGGAGGCTGAGATAGGAGAATCGCTTGAACCTGGCAGGCAGAGGTTGCAGTGAGCCAAGATTGCGCCATTGCACTCCAGCCTGAGCAACAACAGTGAAACTCTGACTTAAAAAAAAAAAAAAGAAAGAAAAAAAATTCAACAAGTCTTTAAACTCTGCCAGTATTTTTACTAGGAATATCATTGCTTTCATCATCTGGTCACAAGGTTACCTGGGTTTTGAGTGGTCTGCCCTATTCCTGTCCCATAACTTCTGGTACTTTTTAAAAATACTTTTTATTGGAGCATCATTACATATCATAAAGTACAAGTGTATAAAGCTCAGTGAATTTCTATGAGCTGAACATACCCATGCGCCAGTAGCAGGATCCAGAAACAGAGCAATACAGCTGGGCATGGTGACCATGCCTGTAATCTCAGCACTTTGGGAGGCCAAAGCGGGTGGATCAGTTGAGGCCAGGATTTCGAGACTAGACTGGCCAGCATGGTGAAACCCCATCTTCACTAAGTATGTGGCACCACATGCCTGTAGCCCCAGCTACCTGGGAGGCTGAGACAGAGAACTGGTCGAACCGGTGAGGTGGAGGCTGCAGTGAGCCAAGATCGATCGTGCCACTGCACTCCAGCCTGGGTGACAGAGCAAGACTGTCAAAAAGAGGAAGGAAAGAAAGGAAAGAAAGAAAAGAAAGAAAAGAAAGAAAGAAAGACAGAAACAGAACAATATCAGCACCTCAGAGGCACCCCACCCCATGCCCTTGTTCCAGTTACCTCTCCTACCCAGAAGACCACTCTTCCGGGGTCTTTCTAAAAAATATTATATTAAAACCATAATATAACAAACAATATAGTAAATATAAAATAAGCAAACAAAAATAAAATATATTTAATAATGTATTTTTTAAAATTATTTTTTATAAAGCACATACCCTTATAGCCACCACCCCACACTGAGAAACAGAACTTTGGCAGGACATGGCAGCCCATGCCTATAATCCCGCACTTTGGGAGACCAGGAGTTCAAGACCAGCTTGGGCAGCATAATGAGATTCTGTCCCTACTTTAAAAACAAACAAACAAACAAAAAACAAAAAACACTTGTTAAGTGTGAAGGCATATGCCTGTAGTCCCAGCTACTTGGAAGGCTGATCACTTGAGTCTAGGAGCTTGAGGCTACAAGCAGTGAGCTATGATTGCACCAGTGTGCTCCAGGCTGGGTGACAGAGTGAGAGCCTGTCTTAAAAAAAAAAAAAAGGCCGGGGGCGGGGGCTAAACCTGGTAATCCCAGCACTGTGGGAGGCCGAGGCGGGTGGATCACGAGGTCAAGAGATCAAGACCATCCTGGTCAACATGGTGAAACCCCGTCTCTACTAAAAACTACAAAAAATTAGCTGGGCATGGTGGCGCGTGCCTGTAATCCCAGCTACTCAGGAGGCTGGGGCAGGAGAATTGCCTGAACCCGGGAGGCAGAGGTTGCGGTGAGCCGAGATCGCGCCATTGCACTCCAGCCTGGGTAACAAGAGCGAAACTCCATCTCAAAAAAAAAAAAAAAGAAAAGAAAAAAAGAAAAGAAATAGAACTTTGCCAGCCCCTTTCTATGGCCCAATGCGATTAAACGCCTCTTCTTTCCTCTAAAAGCACTAACTATCCCAACTTTTATCCTTGAGTTATCTAAGGATTTATGACAAGTGAGCATTCCTAGACATTATATAGTTTAATCCCCACTGCCATTTTACTTGATATGTTGTTTAGGACTCTCTTAATCTATAGATTCCTTGCCCTGGTATTCTCAGGGCTCAATTCTGTGAAAATAAAAATTTCCAGAGACATGTTATACTGTCCATAACAAAAATATCTACAATGAACTCTCGTCCTATTTCCTTTTCAGCAGAAATTGCTTTTCCTGGAGTTAAAATTTATATTTTGTTTGCTTAGTTTTCTGTGTCACCGTTATTAGTTTTCCGAACCCCTTCTGAGAAATATTTTAAAGAAGATCACCCATGTCAAGAAATGCAGGATTTGTGCTTTTCCCTGCAGGTATCTCTACTGGAGCCCTTGGCCTTCCTGGTACACTCTGGATGATGTGGTATGGGCTGGCTGCTCTTTAGGCCTGCTGCAGCTGTCACCGTAAGACTTCCAATCTTTTCCCTACACTGAATCTCCCATTTCTTATATTTGGTGTCTTCCATTTCTCCTTGATTTACTTTACTTGGTGGCACAATCCTCTAATACTGTAGCTTCTTTCCTTGCGAAAATACACACTGGAGGTGAAATTTCTGAGATACTGGAAATCTAAAAATATCTTTCTTCTGCTATCATAATTGATCAATTGTTTGGGTATATAATTATACATTAAAAGTAATTTTCTGGCCAGGAGTAATGGCTCATGCCTGTTATTATAGCACTTTGGGAGGCTCATGATTGCTTGAGAACAGGAGTTCAAGACCAGCCTGAGCAACATGGTGAGACCCCATCTCTACAAAACATAAAAAAGTTAGCCAGGTGTGGTGGCATGCACCTATAGCCCCAGCTATTCGGGCAGCTGGGGTGGAATGACTGCTCGAGCCCAGCAGCTCGAGGCTGAAGTGAACTAGGATTGTGTCGCTGCATTCCAGACTGGGTGACAGCAAGACCTTGTCTCAAAAACATAAAAACTCAAAGTAGTAGTAACAATTTACCCTCAGAATGTCTTAAAGAGAATTTATTTAGTGTCATGATCAGACTATTACATTTGGCAATCAACCGCCTCAGTGCAAAAAACAAAAAATCTACATTAAAATTCTTTGTTGGATTGCTTTTCAGAAAACAGAAACTAAAATACCCTGTTAGACAATGAGTCCAAAATACAGCCCTGGAGTCTTTTGCCCATGCACATGAGCACTGCCTGAAGCACATCTCTGAAGCAGCCGGGCCCTGCCACCACTGTGCCTGGCTGAGTTTGTGAATCCCTTGTAACCTGCGGCTTCCCTGTCCCTGCTCTGGCTAAGCCTGTGTCTCTCGCTAAGCCTTATTTCCTGCAGTAATTAATGGCCTCTGCCTCTGCCACAGCTACTGCAATCACCACAGCCACGTTGGTATCAGGGTTTGGCAAAATATTGGCTTCCACAACCACAGGGGCCAGAGCTTCTGCCTCCTAAGATTTTTCTCATATGGGTCCAAGATTTGAAGACTGATTGTTGTAACTACCAAAATCACTGTTGCTTCTACTACTTCCAAAACTGCTTCCACTATTACCAAATCCATGATAGCCACCCCCACTGCCACCATATCCACCACCACCATGGCTGCCACCAAAGCCACCACAACCAAACTTGTCACTCCCGCCAAAACCACCTCCACCAGTTTCCAGAACCCTTTGGCCTCTTTGGCTGGATGAGGCACTAGTCATGTCCTGCTGCAACCCGGGCTTTCCTGACTTCACAGCTGTGGCCATTCACAGGACAGTACTTCTGAATGACAATCTTATCCATGGAGTCCCGGTCGTGAAAGGTTACAAAAGCAAAGACCCTTTTCTTGCCACTGCCTCAGTCAGCTGTGATTTCAATCACTTCAATTTCCCTATCCTGTTCAAAATAATCTCTTAGGTGATGTTCTTGGGTGTCCTGTTTAATGCCGCCAACCAGTATCTTTTCCACAGTCACATGGGCACCTGGTCTTTGAGAATCTTCTCTTCAGACAGCTCTCGGTTTCCACAGCTCTTCCATCTACCTGGTATAGCCTTGATTCAGAGCTGCACCCATCTCCTCCACAATGGCAGATGACCAACCCAAAGCCCCCAGAGTGCTTGGAGTTTGGGTCTCAGGACCACACCGTTGTGAGCATTCCCCATGGCTCAGAAGAGCTCCCCAGACTCTTGGCTATTTCAAGGCTTCTCCAGCTGTTTAGGCTCTTTAGGAGAGGGCTTAGACATGCCCGCAGTGGGGTGAGAGGCCTGAATGACGCTTCCTTGGCAGCACTGAAGGCCACAAATTCTTCAACATTTTTAAAGATACTCCTCCAGCATCCTGCTTTCAGAGTTGGCCCTTGAAAAATATGATGCTATTCTGACCTTTGAATGTGACCTGCTTCTGCTCTAAGAATCTTCTTTTTAATCTGAACGTTATCAGATTTCACAAAGGATGTGCCTTGTTGTGGATGTTCAGCTGTTCACTGGGAAGGGCTCTTTCCATGCAGAAATTCACATTCTTCAATACAAGGACATTTTCATATATTTCTCTCTCTCTCTCTTTTTTTTATAGAGATGGGGTTTCACCATGTTGGCCAGGACAGTCTCGATCTCCTGACCTTGTGATCCACCCACTTCGGCCTCCCAAAGTGCAGGGATTACAGGTGTGAGCCACTGTGCCTGGCCATTTTCATTTTCATATATTTCTTTTTTTTTTTTTGAGATGGAGTTTCGCTCTGTTACCCAGCCTGGAGTGCAATGGCATGATCTCAGCTCACTGCAACCTCCGCCTCCTGGGTTGAAGCAATTCTCCTGCCTCAGCCTCCTGAGTAGCTGGGATTACAGGTGTGTGCCACCATGCCCAGCTAATTTTTGTATTTTTAGTAGAGACGGGGTTTCACCACGTTGACCAGGATGGTCTCAATCTCTTGACCTTGTGATCCACCTATCTCAGCCGCCCAAAGTGCTGGGATTATAGGCGTGAGCCACCACGCCTGGCCTTTCATATATTTCTTAGCCAAATGTTGGTCCTCTAATTTTCTTTCTTTTTTTAAAATTTATATTAGTGTGAAAACAGGTCCTTTAATTTTCTTTGATCTTCTGTTTTCCCTCTTTTTCCTTTTCCTCCATTTCTAGGAGATTAGCATGACTCTCCCAAACCTGTTAAATTCATTTATTAAACTTATTGCTACCATATGTTTAATCTTAAGTGTTCTCTCTTAGTCTCTGATTGTACCTTTTACATAAATAGCATCTTGCTTTGTTTAAGGATAACACTTTTTCTTAGATCTAAGCAGATCAAATCATTTATGTTTGAGTTTACTTTACTTCTGGTTACTTCAATTTTTAGTTGCTCTGAGTTCCTTGGACATATGTCCATGTGTGTCTGTCTCTCATACTAGAGACTTTCCTCAAATGTCTGGGGACCATTCACTGTCTATTCATTTGTAAGACCAAGGCATTAAAAATCGGAGTGCCAGCCAGGCACAGTGCTTCACGCCTATAATCCCAGCACTTTGGGAGACTGAGGCGGGGGGAATTGCTTGAACCAAGGAGTATGAGACCAGCCTGGGCAACATGGAGAAACCCTGTCTCTACAAAAAACAAAAAAACAAACCCAAACACACAAAACACCCCCAACCCGCAAAATATTAGTTGAGTGTGGTGGTGCATGCCTGTAGTCCCAGGTACTAGCAAGGCTGAGGTGGGAGGATCACTTGAGCCCAGAGGCTGGGGCTGCAGTGAGCCATGTTTGTGCTACTGCACTCCAGTCTGACTGATGGAATGCGACACTATCTCAAAAAAAAAAAAAAAAAAAAAAAAAAAATATCTGAATGCCAATTCCAGTGCTGGATAAAATGGAACATGCCCACTACAAGCTGCTCTTCCTGATGGATTACACCTAAAAATTGGACAATAAAAAAAAGCAACTGAGGATTCTGAGAGAAGTCAAAATTGGAAGAACAACAAGTACAATGAAGTTTCTTGGGTTCTTTTCCAGCTTCTTTGCATAAATGCCCAAGGGGTAAGGAGTGTCGGTCACATAGCAAAACAAAACAAAACAAAACAAAACAAAACAAAAAAACCCCACAAAACTTCTTTCTGGCCAGAGGATGAGGAAGACAGATCCATGTGGGCTGGAGAGTATGATGACAGCACGCTTTCACATTCATTTATTTTTTTCTTTCTTGCCTTGCCTAAAGGTTGGCCAGCAGGCCAGGCACCTCACAGCCTGAGAGAAAGCCTGTCTGTTTGCCTAGAAGAAGTGAGCATGTAAAAGGAATCCTGTTGTTTCTTCTCTGTTGTTTCACTGCCTCACTCTTCGGGTGATGCCAGTCACATGGAACTCTGTGACAGTAAAGGAGGTTCAAACTGTCTGAGCAAAACCTGTCTTTCTAGCAAGAGGAACAGGGAAAGGGGTGCCTGGGAGCCAGAGACTGGGGAGAAAATCCCAGCAAGAAGAGGACCAGAGAAGGAAATCCCTTAATTCTGTGTAGGAACTAACACTAGTCCCAGACTCACTCCTGAGTGGCACATGCATGAAATAGATCCCAAAGGCACAGCAAAGTCTCTCAGAAATAAACTATGATATAAACCATCACTGAAGTTGCAGGCAAATCACTGAGAGGCGCATGTGAGGGCAAACTCAAACAGGATAGCAGATGCTTTTAAAATGGAACTGGCATTGGACCCATCACCCACAGAAGGAGAGACAGAGCTTGTGGTACTGGACTGCCTGTTAAAACAAAGCAAAATCATCATTCTCCAGATGTTGACAGGACCCAGACTCTTACACCGTAACCTTCAAAATACATTGGCGATGCACTCCAAGATTATATGACATACAAAGAATCAGAAGAATGTTACCAATTCTGAGGAGAAACAAAACGATGATGAACAGATGTCAACCCTGAGATGACACCGATGTTGGAATTATCAGAATACAATTTAAAACAGTTATTACACCTATGCTCCACAAGAGAAAGTAAAGAGAAATGACTGCAAAGATGCAGAGAAAAAGTAACCATAAAAAACAACAACAAACAAATGGAAACTATAGAACTAAATGATATAAGATCTGAAATTAAAAATCCACTAGATGAGGTCAATAGCAGAATGGAGACACCAAAGGGAAGACTCAGTGAGCTGAAAGATTAACATAAATTACCCAATTTGAACAACAAAGAGGAAAAACATATTTAAAAAGAAAAGAATAGAGACTTAGGGAATAATCTTAAATACCAATCTTATATCTTAAATATAGGATGCCTAAACCATATATATATTTAACAGTCTTAAGTACAGGACAGTATCAAAAGGTCTAACATTTATTTCATTGGACTTATGGAAGGAGAAAGAGATTGATGCACAAAACAGTATGAAGAAATAGTGGCTAACTTCTCAAATTTAGCCAAATATAAAAATTTATAGATTGAAAAACGCAGCAAACATGAGAGTTGATTAAACTCAAAGAACACCATAACCAGACAATCATAACCATACTACTAAAAGCCGAAGACAGAAAAGCTCTTGAAAGCATCCAGAGAAAAACGACACATTATGTAAGCAAACAAGAATTCAAATGCCTACCAATTTTGCCAGCTAATTTTTTGTATTTTTAGTAGAGACAGGGTTTCACTATGTTGGCCAGGCTGGTCTTGAACTCCTGACCTCATGATTGGCTCGCGTAGGCCTCCCACAGTTCTGGGATTACAGGCTTGAGCCACCGTGCCCGGCCTTAGACTTTTTTTTTAATCACTGAAGTGCCTTAACATTTCTAAGCTTATTCGGCCTTTAAAACAAGGGGGATTCTGTCACTAGTGACATGGATGGGATTGGAGAACATAATGCTGAGTGAAATAAACCCGGCACAGAAAGACAAATACTGCATGCTTTCACTTACATGTGGAAACTAAGACAACTGAACTCACAGGAGCAGAGAGTAGAACTGTGGTTACAAAGGCTCGGGGGCGGGAGGAATGAAGAGATGGTGGTCAAAGGATACAAAAACCTCAGACAGGAGAAATAAATTTTATTTTGAGATCTATTGCACAGCATAGTAAAGACAGCAAATAATAATGTTTTCTACATTTCGAAACTGCTAAGAGAATAAATTTCTAATGTTCTCAGTCACAATAAAGGATAAGTATTTGAGGAGATGGATATGTTAATTAGCTTGATTTAATGATTCCCTATTATACTGGTAAATTATAATATCATGTTTTACTCCATAAATATATATAACTATCAACTGTTAATTTACAATAAGACTTTTTTTTTTTTTTTTTAAAGAGATGGGGGTCTCCTGGTCTCAAGTGATCCTCTTACCTCGGCCTCCCAAAGTGCTGGGATTATAGGCATGCACCCGGCTAATCTGCATTACAATTTTTAGAAAACTGACTAAAGATGTATCAAAAGACTTTTTTTTTTTCAATTTCAAAGCTGTAAGATTGTTGGAAGCAAATGTAACCTTGTGGAGTGGAGTTTTCAATATATGTAGATGTAACACAAATGACAATTATAACATAAGGCGGGGGAGGATTAAAGAATCTTTATATTAATAGTTGTAAGATTTCTATATTCTCCTTAAAGTTGTTAAATATAAAATCTAACTAGAATATGAAAGGTTATGTGTGCATGCTGTAATCTCTAGAGCTACCACCTAAAAAACAATTCACAGAGATATAAACAAAAAGTCAATAGATAAAATACCAAAAAATACCAATATCCAAAAGAAGGCATGAAACAGGGGAAAGGACAAATGGAAAGGGAGAGGCTGACCTAAATCTAAACATACTAACAAGTATATTAAAAGCAAATGGTCTGAATATACCACTAAAAGACAGACATTGTCAAACTGAACTTAAAAGCAAGAAAGTCCCAAGTATATGCTGCTTACAAAAAAACTCACTTTAAATATAATAACACAGGTTAAGAGTAAGATGATGAGCTTTTTCTGCCTCCGCTGCCGCCGTGGCTCCCATGAAAAAGCTTGTGGCGAAGGGGGGCAAAAAAAAGAAGCAGGTTCTGAAGTTCACTCTTGATTGCACCCACCCTGTAGAAGATGGAATCATGGATGCTGCCAATTTTGAGCAGTTTTTGCAAGAAAGGATCAAAGTGAACGGAAAAGCCGGGAACCTTGGTGGAGGGGTGGTGACCATCGAAAGGAGCAAGAGCAAGATCACGGTGACGTCTGAGGTGCCTTTCTCCAAAAGGTATTTGAAATATCTCACCAAAAAATATTTGAAGAAGAATAATCTATGTGATTGGTTGCGCGTAGTTGCTAACAGCAAAGAGAGTTACGAATTACATTACTTCCAGATTAACCAGGACGAAGAAGGGGAGGAAGACGAGGATTAAATTTCATTTATTTGGAAATTTTGTATGTGTTCTCGAATAAAACTTAGGAACCAAAAAAAAAAAAGGAGTAAGAAGATGAAACAAGTTATATAAATACTAATCAAAAGAAATCCAGAAAATGGTTAAAATGCAAACTTTATATTGTAAAAATTTTGCACAAGAAAAGAACAGGCACAGTGGCTGTATTGATAGCAGAAAATGCAGTCTCCAGAACAAGGGAGCTTACCAGGGAATAGAGAGACACGTAACGGTAAAAGGGTCAGTTAGCCAAGATCCCAAAACAATCATAAATGCACAGGCATCTAACAAGAGAACTCCCAAATAAATGAAACAAAAACTAACAGAACTGAGAGAAAGACAACATCCATAGTTATACTTAAAGACTTCAATCTCTCTCTCTCAGTAAGGGACAGAACTGGTGGGCAGAAGATTAGAAAAAATACAGAAGGCCTGAAGAGAACCGTCAACCAACTTGACCTGACATTTATAGAATACTGCGCCCAACAACAGTACACACATTCTTTACAAGTACACATGGAACTTTCATCAAGATAGACTACATTGTAAACAAAACATAAACATATAGTAAACAAACTTCAAGTTTAAAATAACTGAAATCGTACAAAGTATGTCCTCTGACCATAGTCGAATTAAACTAGAAGTCATATAGAAAGACATCTGCAAAATGTTCAACTATTTGGAAATTGAATAGATTTCTAAAAAAAATTTATGCATCGAAGAGGAAGTCTCAAGGAAATAAGAAAAAGTTCTGAACTGAATAAAAATATAACAAATTAAAATTAGTGTTATGCAGCTAAAGTAGTGCTGAGAGAGAAATTTATAGCATTAAAATACTTATATTAGAAAAGAAGGTCTGAAATCATTAAGCTTCTGCCTTAAAAAACTACAAAAAGAACAGGCCAGGTGTAGTGGCTCACCCTGTAATCTCTGCACTTTGAGAGGCCGAGGCGGGTGGATCACTTGAGCTCAGGAGTTCAAGAGCAGCCTGGCCAACATGGTGAAACCTTGTCTCTACCAAATACAAAATTAGCTGGAGGCAGTGGCAGCTGCCTGTACTGTCAGCTGCTTGGGAGGCTGAGGCAGGAGAATCACTGGAACCTGGGAGGCAGAGGTTGCTGCGAGCTGAGATTGTACCACTGCACTCCAGCCTGGGCAACAGAGTGAAACCCTGCCTCAAAACAGCAAAAACAACACAAAGCTTCCTCCTTAAAAACCCACGAAAACTACCAAAAGAACAATTTAGATCTAAAGCAAGCAGAAGGAAGGAAAACAAAACAAAACTTAGATTGGAGCAGAAATAAATGAAATTTAAAACAGAAAAAAATAGAGAAAATAAATGAAACCAAAGGCTGGTTCTTTGAAATGATAAAGAAAATCAATAAACAGGCTAGGAGAATCACAAATCTCACGCCTGTGATTCCAGCACTTTGGGAGGCTGAGGTCCATGGATCACTTGAGGTCAGGAGTTCGAAAGTTCGAGACCAGCCTAGGCAACATGGTGAAAGCTTGTCTCTACTAAAAATATAAAAAGTAACCAGGCATGGTGGTGGGCGTTTATAATCCCAACTACTCTGGAGGCCAAGGCATGAGAATTACTTGAACCCGAGAGGCAGAGGTTGCAGTGAGCCAAGATAACCTGACTGCACTCCAGCTTGGGACACAAAGCGAGACTCCATCTCAAAAAAGTAAAATGAAAATCAATAAACCTCTAGCTAACTTTTACTGAAAAACCTGTGACAAAAAAATAAAAAGATACAAAATATTAAATATCAGAAATGAACGGGATATCACTAGAGACAGTTATATACATTAAGAGGATAATCAAGAACTCTATGCCTATAAATTTGACAACTTAGATGCAAAGGACCAATACTTTGAAATTCACTAATGCCAAAACTCACTCAAGAAATACAGAATCTAAATATTCCTATTAATAGTTAAAAACCTTACATGAAAACAAAAACTCCAGGTCCAGATGGTTTCCTCGGCAAATTCTACCAAATATATATACTAAATGATACCAATTGTACACAATCTCTTCCAGAAAACAGAAGAGGAGGGAACACTTCTCAACTCATTTTGTAGGTCAGCTTTACTGTGACATCAAAACCATACAAAAGCAGTAAAAGAAAAGAAAAAACCACTAGAGACCAATATCATTCATAAAAATAGACTCTCGAAACCCCTCAACAAAATATTGTAAATCAAATCCAGCAATATATAGAAAGGATAATAGATCATGACCAAGTGGGATTAATTTAAATGCAAGGCAGGTGCGACATTCAAAAACCTATCAGTGTAATTCATCATGTTAACAGACTGAAGAAAAACCACATGATCATTTCAATAGATGCAGATAATATATTTGACAAAATGCAACACCTATTCATGATTAAAACTCTGCAAGCTAGGAATTTTAATTTTTCCATTTAAAAAAATTCAATAGCTCTTGGGGCATATAGAAAATAACCTATATGTGGCAGTCCGTTTTCAATTCTAAGTGTCTTAGTATAGGTCTAAACAGGCTACATGGAAGTAAAGAGATAAAGAAGCAGAGTACACTGAGCCATCACTGCTCCCCGTCCCCCCCCCAACCCCCGGTTCCTGCCTTCCCTTTCACCCAGAGGGCAGGTGCCTATCGTTTGGGGCCCCCTTAACCACCCTCTTCTCACCCACCAAATAATTTAGTTTAGGCTAGCTTGCAACATAAATACTTGTACGCTTTCTTATCAGCTAAGTGCAGTCACTAGGGCCGTAAGACAAATGTTTGGAGTCCTGAGACACTTGCAATGCACCGTGGGCTACAATAAAATGCAGCAGAAAGATCCTAAAGAACATACTTGAAACCTTAATCCAACTACCAACAGGTGACATCCAGGAAGATTGCAACCCCGCAGTACTCAGTCAATGAGCAACTGGGGGAGGGACCTGGGCTGTAGGGAATAAACTGCTTGTTGAAACCAGCTGGGTGTGCCTGCTGCCAGACACCTGATCTTGCAAGGCCGCCATTAAAAATCTCACTTTCGCTGTTTTCTGGGTCTCTGAGTCCATTCTTTGGGTTTGGACAGGTGGGTTTGTTTCTTACAGGTACAAGAGGTTACTGGTTAACATGGATGAATTATATAATATATAAAATCCCAGAATTCCCTATATATAGTGAATCCATATCCAACCTACATATAGTGAATTCTGGGATTTTAATGCACTAGTCACCCAAGCAGTGTACATTGTACAAATTATGGTTCGTTTTTCCTTTTTTTGAGACATGGTCTCACTTTTGTTACCCAGCTGGAGTGCAGTGGCATGATCTTGGCTCACTGCAACCTCCATCTTTGGATTCAAATGATTCTCCTACCTCAGCCTCCAGAGTAGCTGGGACTACAGGCGCTCACCACCACGTTCGGCAAATTTTTTTATTTTTAGTAGAGATGAGGTTTCACCATGTTGGCCAGGCTGGTCTCAAACTCCTGGCCTCAAGTGATCCGCCCTTCTTGGCCTCTCAAGGTGCAAGGTTACAGGCATTAGCCACTGTACCTGGCCACCCAATATGTTTCTTATCCCTCACCCTTCTTCCATCCTCCAACTTCTGAATCACCAAAGTCTAGTATATCACTCTGTTTGCCTGTGAGTACTCATAGCTTAGCTCTCACTTACAAGGGAGAACATATTGTTTTTCGTTTGCCATTCCTGAGTTACTTCACTTAGGATAATGGCCTCCAGCTCTATCCAAGTTGCAGCAAAAGACATTACTCCATTCCTTTTTATGGCTAAGCAGTATTCCATGGTGTATACATAGCACATTTTCTTTATTCACTCACTGGTCGATGGGCACTTAGGCTGCTGCCATGTCTTTGCATTGTGAATTGTGCTGCTACAAACGTGCATGTGCAGCTGTCTTATTCATAGAATGGCTACCTTTCCTCTGGGCAGATACCCAGGAGTGGGACTACTGGATTGAATGGTAGTTCTACTTACAGTTCTTTAAGGAATCTCCAAACTGTTTTCCAAAGAGGTTTTAATTTACATTCCCACCAGCCATGTGTAAGTGTTCCCTTGAAGCTTAAAAATTAATTTTAAAAATTAATTAAAATTTAAAGGCAGGATAGAATTCTTATTGTTGGGTGTGGCTTTTTCAACACCCAACAGATGTTACCATAGGTGAATAACTGGGCAGAAAGTTAATTATATCATTAGCGGTTCCCAAAGGTCAATATCTGTACATATTTTTTTCTACAAAAAAAAGTTTATCTCAGAAAAATTAATTCCACCAGTCTCCTACTGCTGAGGTACAGATGGGAATGAAGATGCTTCGCGGCTACTGTTCCTGGACTCTGCTTATTTTCTCATGCTTTTTGTCCTTGTGGTTTTACACAATTTCTTGTATTCCTTAACTCTCATTTCCTTGGGGTTTCCTAAGGGTACAGAATTAAGCACGTATATTAAATCCATTCTGTTTATCTGGGAATCTAAAATGCACTTACTCAAATTTTATCAAACACCTATGTAACAAGCAATAGATGTCAGAAGCAATAAGGGCTCTGAAGGTTTGTACCAACTCAACATATATAGAATCTCAAAGCCCTTATTGCTTCTAACACCTACTGCTTGTCAATGAACCAGTCTCTACCCTCAAAAAGCTTAAACAACTGGGAGAAACATCATACTCTGAAACGTAACATAATGTAATAAATACTGCAAAGCACCTATGGACTCAAATGAAGAGGCTGAATTCTGCCTGAGGGAGTCAACAGTCACTATGGCATTGATCTACAGCACAGATGGAAGGGGTTGGAACTAGAAAGAGTGAGACCAACCAGGAGACCGTAACGGTTCAGAGCACTGAAGACGCAACCAAAGACTGAAGAGGTGAGACCAACGGGATCTGACGACTGGCTGAATCGAGGAGGAATGACTGACTGAGTAGACTGTGAGGCCATTCATGGGACAAGGAGCACAGGAGGAAGAACAGATGACTGAGTTTAGTTCTGACATACCTCTGAGTCACACAGATAACTATGTCCAATAAGCAGCCCAAAATAAAAA